TCCGACACTTCCCAGCTTTTGAACTTGGGATTCTTACCGATTTTATCAGCAACTCACTTCACGTTATTTCGCAGGGGGCTCATATAACAGCTCATATGTTTAGGAAATACTGTATTTCTACATACTCCTTCTGGGTATGGTCAATTATATTTGATGGTTGAAAATATCTACATTTCCCCATCCCATTAAATCCAGTTGAATGCGAGCAGGAAGAAATTCAAAGCATTTTTGGGCTAATTCTTTCCTATTTTCACGNTTTAAAAATTTTCTTGTTTAGAGCGTTGTAGAGAAGCAAAGTCACACATGGGATAGGTTTTTATACCCCCCAAAGAGAATTTGATGTTTATTTCTTTGTTTCGCAGAAGGTCTATTAGCAGACTACCAGATGTCGATGGTGAAGCTAAAACAAAAAAGAGATTCAAACAATATCCAATCGCATATTGATATTGCAGAAGTTAGAACAGAAGAAGGAAAATTGCACCTGTTTGTTGCTATAGATAGAACTTCTAAATTTGCCTATGTTGAGCTGCATAATAGTGCCACAAAGACCGTAGCTGCAGAATTTTTGTGTGAAAATTAACTCAAAGAGCATCTTTATAGCTTCTACAATTATGCTAAAAGACTAAAAACTCTTAAGGGTCTCACACCTTATGAGTTCATATGTAATCAGTGGACAAAATTCCACAATTGTTTATACTTCCATCATACTTTGGGACCATACACCTAGAAATGTTTCACTTTTTTTTAAGTCAAGGTGCAGGTTTATGAATACAAAATTTAGAAAGATATTCTTTATTACTATTTTGCTGTCTGCAATGATAGCCACATATAATTCTTATTCAAGTTCCATTGAAGATGATTTTAAAGATTTAGAAAAAAACTTTCCTCTATTAAAAAAACATAATTTGTTATTTTTAGACCCAGCACCTGCTAAAAATTATGACGATAGAAAAAAAGGTGCACAAATAAATATGGTCGTTGTTCATCACACTGAGGAACCAACACTTACGGCCACAAAAGATGTACTAAATTCTAGAGGAATTTCTGTTCATTTTGTAGTTGATAGAGATGGTAGTATAACTCTAATGGTACCGCTAGAGAAAATGGCGTGGCACACAGGTATTAGCTATGCAAAAATTTTAGATCAGGAGTTGGATGGACTGAACCTTTATTCTGTGGGAATTGAAATTGTAAATAGTGGGCTTGAACCTTTTTCTGAAGAACAAATGAAAACTGTTAAAGATCTTATTTTATATCTTATGAAGCGTTTCCAAATAAAAAAAGACATGATATTTAGCCATTCTGAAATAGGAACTATAATCTATGACAAAGATCTTGATGATTATACTATGCGTAAACCAGACCCGCATAAATTATTTGATTGGGAGTTTTTAGAAGAAAACGGAGTAGGTTTACATATAAATAACAGAATAAGTCCTGATGATGCAAAAAAGGAAATTCAGGAGGTTTTATACGAATTTGGCAATAAAAGTGATGATATTTTAAAACTAAAAAAGAGGTTGAATAACTTTTTTTACAAAATCAGGCCATGGAATGATAAAGATGGTAAGATTCTCTTTCCCGACAACCAATCTTTATACACAGACAATTTTGACGAAATTTTTTCATGGGTTGTTTTACAATTTTCGATGCATCACTTGCCAAAAGAGATAAGAGAAAATTTGATGTTAAAGTTAGAGCAAGGAGATATACTTCCTGATTTTTTACGTGACTATGGAAACGAAATTTCTAATCAGTTTTACACTTTCAAAATTGAAGTACTAAATACTGTGAAATCATCTTTAAGTAAGAAAGATTATGAAAGCCTAGTATTGTATTTGAAAAAATATAATAATGGTGTTTCGTATGACGCATTTTATACACTCATGTATAAGATGAAACTGTACTATAACTGCTATTTGCGGTATAAAACAAATACTGGACTTTATCAATCGTTCAAGAATAGTGTTTTGTTGACGTTTGATAATCTACGAAAAAAAATACTGTCATTGAAATCTTTACCTACTGGTAAAGCTGCCGAAATTTCAAATATGATGGAAGGATTTGAATCTAGGCTTTTATTAAATTTCTCAGATTTTGAATCTGAATGGTTTCAAGAATTTAAGTGTAAATGGGCTCAAGAATTTATTCCTAATTTAGAAAAGCAAATGACCTGGACTAGGCTACATGAAAACATTTTAGAATATTTGGAAGTAGAAAAGGAAAATATTTTTTAAACCAAATACCGTCAAGCATACAATAAGATCAAGCTAATGAGATTTAATATTATCACTGGTATTGTAAGTTTGAGGCATGAAGCTTTCGGGTTGGGAATTCTTTACAGCAGCAACTCACTTCATGTTGTTTCACAGAGGACGCATATAACAGCTCATATGTTTAGGAAATACTATATTTCTACATACTTCTTCTGGGTATGGTCA